TGCTTCGCCGTCATGTACTCTCCGCAAATGCGCCACTTCCTCTCGCACAAATGGCTGCACTGGATCGGAAGCCTCAGTTTCGCCCTCTACCTCCTCACGGCATGCTCATGCGTACCGTCCTCGTCTGGCTCGTCTTTGGACCCAACTACCTCCTCGGCATCACCAAGCCAGGCAAACTCGCAGACGGAACAGACGGCCAAGTCGTGCCCCAGCCAGGCGACCTGATCATCGCATGCTTGCTGCCCGTCTTCTTCGCCATCCTGCTCTTCGTATGCTCTCTCTGGAACCGCTTCGTCGAGCCATACTTTGGCTACGCAACCGCTAGTCTCGAGTCATTCGCCAAATCGTTCTGTCGGAACCAGTGGCCCTTTAACTCGCTCAATTCAATGCCGAATGGCGAGAAATCCATCCTGCCCACTACTCGCAGGGATTGAGATGTCGTCACTTTTGCTACGGACAACTGCTGCTGTCTCATGTTACACCTTCTTTTGGTGTGACACAAGAGGCACAACAGAATACTTCCTTTTTTTCTTCCTCCTTAACTCCTTATTTCCTTTTTATTCCGTGTATATTTGTACCATGTTCCATCGAAGTCGGGTTCCATCAGCCGCCCCTTCACCACTTGCTGTTTTTTTTTTTTTCTTTCCTTTTTTCCCTTTTTAATCCCGACGGTTCATTGATCGGAGTTGATGCTGATTTGTCCATTTTGGCCCTGATACTAACCATGTAGCGTTTCCCTTCTGGCTTGTGTTATTTACAAGACGCATTTTATTTTCCAACCTCCTCATTCGCCATTTTGCATGAAAGATAGAAGATCATATCCGACTGAGATGGCATTGTTGAGATACCTTGTTATGTCCGGCATATCCTTCTTGTACACGCATATTTCAAAGACTAGACGAAGCAGACTTTTTACCCATCAATACAAAAAATAGTAATGCATTTAATCTGCATCTATAGACGCACCCAAGTAACCATAGAAGTCGAAACATTGCCAATCGCCCAGGTTTGAAAAAGAAAAAACAACATGCATCATGATTGTCATATTCTAAAACACCAGCTCTTCGTCTATACATCCAACCCCCTGCCATGCCCGGCCCTCTCCCCACTGCCTTCACGCACATCTATTGCCCTTCCCCTCCATTCCCCGAGGCATACTTCCTCGTCCAATCCCTCGCGATCTTCTCGTACTGTTTCCGATCGTTACTATATTGCTCTGCGATCCTCCCTTCCACTGCATCGTCCGGCATCGGCTCCACAAGAAGCTGTCTCGCAAACTCCAGCACGGCATATAACTTCGACGACGGCTTCCATTCATCTGACTTTAGCATACCGAGACACATCGTTCCCTTGTCGTCGTTGGATACATTGGGATGGTATATTTTCGTAGCGAAGGAGACGGTCGGCGGCTTGAAGGGATAGTCTGTTGGTAGCGTGAGCCTGATCTCGAATATCCCGCCCTGCAGTGGTAGATAATATCATTAGCAGTCTGGCCGGGCAGTTATGGCTCGAGAAGGTTAACGGTAACGCACTTGGTATGGTGAGCCCTCGGGGCCTTTCATCTCGACGCTCCATTTGTATAAGTCCGAGTCATCTGCCAGAGCGACTGTGACGCCGTCTGGAGGTGAGCTTAGGAGCTCGTTAAGTTCCTATTATATCCCCACGGTCATAGTTAGCCCATGGCTAGATGCACTATATGATATGGGCCATAAGGTACCTTTGAAATGCGCTTCTGACTCGCCATGACGCCGTCTTTGAATATCGAGTAACGGAACGCACGAATTCCAAAAATTCGCCTGGATGTGTATCTAGCAGGCTAGACAAACGACTCAGCGAGGGATCACTGCCCTTTTAATTTGCCGGCGCTTGATGTTGGATGGATGCTAGGCAGCAGCAGGCAAGTGGCTCGCGGGGTAGTTCAGTTAAAACTGTTGGATAACCAACCAACTAGCGGGCGAGACGAGGGTGGTTATTTCAGCCAGTGGGAACAGATTCCAGGCTCCAGGCTGCTGAACTACTAGCTGAACTGCTGTATGCGACGGCAAAGGCGCTGGAGGTTCGACTCGCGGGTCGCTTGTTGTCTTGAGCTTCTGAAGCGAAAGTTGACTTTGGCTTCCGCGAAAAGTCGGGTGAGGCTGATCTGCCCCCTTTAGAGTCATTTAGTCATCTTGGAGGATACCAGATTGACCGAGCCTTTTTTCCTTTGGCGACCTACGAAAGAGATCCGGACTCTTCATTGGAGACTTTGAGTAGCGATATTGGATACTACTCGTTGTATCCGTGACGTCGCCCTGATGCGAAGGCACTATGCTTGATCTGTGAACCCCCGACCCCATAGGAACTAGTGACTTGCCATGTTGAATGCGTTTTTCTACGAAGTAGTTACGGGCACTTCTAGTTTTGGAGAAGCCTCTAGAAATATAGGGCATTTGTCGCGAACATAAAGGTTTCGCGGCTTGTCCGCAGGGTCCCTTGGTGTTAGTTAGTCCAGCCTCTAGCTGGACATATTACACGAACCTGTCTGCATCGCAAGAAACTCGTTGTGTTATCACAATATGCAGAATATGTTCAGGAGCTACTCCAGGTAACGTCGTAATACTCAAGCCTTTCAATGTAATACGATGGCATGACTCACCAACGACTGGCTATTCGAGCTCTTTCAAACTCATCCGGGTTGGATCGGTCAAGGCGTCCCGTCTTGACGTCATGCTATTGCTTGATCCTTGCTAGTACTTGTCGGAGCCTGCCGAGAAATTCCTGCAGGAATTTAGATGCGCGAGCAAATGGAGGCTCTCAGCACTAGCAACGGAGCAACTCGACGGCGGTTGTCTTATTTATCAGCCCATACCCACTTGATAATCAGGTGCTACCCGGTGACCCGAGGAGAAGAAATACCAAGTTAAGAGGCATTCAAGGGTATTCTAGGATGTAGTGGCCTGTCTGAACGTGTAGAACGCATACGGAGTCGCAAAAGAGGGCGAAATCCAGTCGTCAAAGTAGGGATTTCGTCAAGTGCAAAAGTTGAGGACATTGGCTAGTTATCTCCTGACCCTCCTAGCCGTCAACGTCACTTCCGATTTACCCATTGTGCTCCTCTACCCTCGCCCTCTACTGAGCTTGATAAGATGACAGATGTACTCCCCACCGAAGCCTTTTTCTTCGACTTGTAGATGTGAATAAAACCTCTGGCATCAACGCCAAGCATTGCTATGACGCCATTTGAGTTCAAAGCGGGCCGGGCCGCTGATGCTTATTATAGACACACGCAGAGGCTCAACATTCGTCTTGAAAGTGCGTACAGATTAATGGGGCTGAATATTTTTATTCTGCTGGCAGACGGGTATACTGACTAGACTTATAGAAAGAGACAATAGTGTCAGCAAACATTTACATATAGAACAGGCCAGATGCTCTCAAATGAATAGTTTTCTCGAGACACTCGACTCTAGAAGGATTGATCTTGGGAAAGGTTGGGGGGTACAGTTAGAGGGCTCACTATTTCATACAGTTAGAGGGCTCACTATTTCATACAGTTAAGGAGACGCGACTAGATATCAGTCACGATGCCATATTTTGCAATGTTAAGCGGGAAAGGTACCCCTTGGGCAGGTCTCCGCGGGTCCTCTTTCAAAGGTAAATCAAACAGCTATCCCTTTTTACTCGGCAAAACATCCATGTTTGCGCTATTTTATTGATTATATCTTGATTTTATAGATTCGCGTGTAATTAGCAGTTGAGTGAGCAGGGTAATCAATTGTATTGATATTATTTTTAGTTTTATGTGAGTAGAAGAACTGCTCTTCACAAGCACTGCCAGTTTCAGAACAGATTATCCCAAAAAAAATTAAGTAAGAGATTAATATATCCATTCATTTCCATCCCATTAAACAAGGTATCATATATCATTAAGAGAAAAAAAGCCTGTTGAACTCCAGAAGATTTTTTTCCGTTTCCATGTCACATCCAATTCGTGCGCTCGCTGATTACCCAAGAATCCCAAAAAAGCACTTTTGATGACTGAAGATGTCGGTTTGTTGGCATATTGATTGAACGAAGCACCTATCGGAGAGCAAGGTAGGTGGCCTCGGCGTGGGCAGCCTTGCGCTCCTTGGAGTCGAAGGACTTGGGGCTACCAATGCGAGTCTTGGAGTTAGAGCGGGACAAGGCCGGGGTGGATGGCATAGTGCGCTTTCCATTGTCAAGAGAAGTGCGAGGAGTGTGGAAGCGGGAAGAGGCAGCCGAGAAGGTGTTCATGGACTCGCGCTTCATGTGGGGAAGCTCGAAGGAGGCGTAGTGGATGGCGAAGTCGGTAGCGTTGGAGGCCATTGTGATTGTTTTGATTTGTTTCGTTGAGGTGATGTTTGTAGAAGTAGATATGATTAGGTTGCTTGTTGTTGCTGTTGAGTATAGACTCGAGTGGATGACAGTAGATCGTTGATTGATTGTTGTCTTGTTGTTGTTGTTGTTGTTGTTGTTGTTGTTGTTGTTGTTGTTGTTGTTGTTGTTGTTGTGCTGTGTTGATGTCTGTTTGTTGTGGATGCTGATGATAGGAAGGACGAAAACTCGAGGGATGGAGCTCCTTCTTATAGACGTCCCGTCGACCACTTTCGGGGCTTGTAGGAAGTTTCTAGTTACCCGTGGGCCCACGACGGCACCGTGGGCATGGCCGCAACCCGCCCTGGACCCCCTCGACCCCTTCGTCGTCGCCATCCGCCAGCATCTTCTGTCTACTTCTTTTTTGCCTTGTAAAACCTTCCCTATATAAATCTTAAAAGCGGGACCGATCACCTGCGGGTCTGTGCCTGGATTAGTCAGTTGGTCTGACTAATGTACTCCGTGACGTCACTTTCCGTTCGCTTTTCGTCGACCTCAACTTCGACTTCTTCGACCTTTTGCTGCTTGCAACCTGCGTGTTGATTTCTATGAATACGGGCCCGCGGCTACGATGACTCGGCTGAGCGTGCGGTGCTCTGTGTCATCGGTCTCGTACAGTGCGAAGAGGCCGCTGGAACAGTCAGACCATCGCATCAGACCATGTAAAAATAGCTTCGGGAAACAGAGACTTTTCCACGGCCCCTTCAGCGAAAAATTTTTCCCAAAAATTTTACACGCCTTACCTAGCAATTCCCGCCGAGGGCTTCTAGACGCGCGAGCGGATCGTTTCACATGGCCAATGACATGCAAGAACAGGCATCGGGCCGTCGCGATAAAAAAAGACTGCGCAATTTTGCAGCCTGACTTGCAGCGTCTGCACCCTGGACGTCATCCACTTCGAATCATCCCTGCTTCAGCTGGCGCCGGGCGTCTAGGCTGGGATGAACCAGCGCCAGCACCGGCTCAGTGTGCCCTGTGCTCAGATGATGGCTTGGGCTCATCGGAGCTTCCCGTCCGCCTGCTAAGGTCCCGGCACACATTTACGCAAAGCTACAGAGTACCAAGCTTGGTCTCGGAGTACGGCTAGCCATGCACGTGTAGTGCGTAGGGCGCTGAGTGTTATTATTGCTGGGTTTCATTCAGACGTAAGATGTATCGGAGACCATTGTTCGTCGAATTAACCGGATGGGAGGCACCTTGTGTAAGCGACTCCCGTTTCTCTGGGCCAACTATGGAGCGGTACCCGAAATACAATTTGAGAATAAATGAAGGGGACGACGGATCGATATGCGCCGTATCCATTCATCTGTCCACGATTCCACGAGGCATGCTCGAATCTTTCGTCCAAGGTAGTTGGAAAAAGTTAACGCGCAATGCTGGATGGATATGATTTTTCGGATCTCCAGCTTGGTGATGGTGGCCAGACTTCACCTTGCAAGGAAGCGACATGGATTGAGGTTTTCGTTACCTGGTGTGTCCACTCATGCCCGTCTGTGCGTGCATGTTTTTCCATCACCAGGTTCGCAGGTCACAGTTCAACGTCTGGCCTGGTCGGGTTGCCGTTATCCCTGTCAACGATTACTGATACCCAACACCCCAGCCACATTTCTGCTTAAATTTTCACACCACTTTTTCTCTTTTACTGCTTGCTCCCTCGAAGGATGCAGGAACCAGAACGTTGCCGTCTTAGCCACTTTTCAGTTTTCTAGTGTCGGGAAGGCCCTGCGTCTTCGAAGCTCGGGTTTGAGCTCAGGGTTACGATCATTGCCACCCGTTTAAATCCCTTACAAGTCCAGGAATAGGATAATCAAGTAAAACAGGAGATCCACTCTGGCGGGATGAAGAAAAATTCCTGTCTTGCTGCTTGTGTTTACTCAACGTGCCCCTCCAAACACCCCTCCGAATATAGATACGTAAACAGTGACAGGATGGATGATATACTTACTGCTAACGTTGACCAAGCAGATCATATAAAGCAAGACGATCATATAGCGGTCACCAACCAATATTCAGGCTGTTCGGCGACTCGGTGAACCTTCTGGTGAGCCTGGACGGGTTGTCCGCCTGTTCGACGCACATGCATTTGTCTCATCTTGAGCTTAAGACGACTTTATTTACATTTTTTGTGAGATTTTGACTGAGGCTGAGCTGGTGTGGATTCTCGGCATGGACATGGATGTTTCCTAACCAACGACTGTGAATATCCGATCAATATGCTCCGGGTTGTTGGCTGGCTTGTGTCTGGACTCTATCACGATCGCATTCTGTTGGCTTATAGGCTCAAGGGCTGGTCGGCAGACGTGTGACGAGAATGGGCGGTGACGAGTTTATCCGGTATGGGTGTCTGCCCGGGTCCATTTGCCCTGGATGTCTGTGTACTCCGAATGGTTCGAGTCTGCCTTCCATGCATCGTCTATCTTGATTGACCGCCCATCAGTCACACCACATCGAGCATCCCTTGACGCGAGAACGCGCGTATTTCCGTCTCATCTGACTGTGGCGGATTCACCTAGATTGATCGATCTTTACTCCCGGAAGGTCCAATTTTGAGCACAGATGATTATTCCAGTCACTAGACTATTATCACAGGCAGAATTTCGTTGTTCAGCGATCTGGTAGGTTCCATATCAGCTGAGCCAGTAGACTAGCTAACACAACTGATGACACTAACCTGAGATGCAAGGTTCGAGGCTTATGAGTGAGTCGTTAACATAAAACATTGTGTGCAAGTCTAGGCGACAGAACATCTAGAATATGTTATTTTCTTCAGATAATTCCATCAACTGACTACAAAGACAGGTTGGAGGAAAGCAGTGCTACGAATAGAGTCCGAATATGCAGGAGGATACCTTTCAACTGTGGAACGCCACATATACTAGACGTAGAACATTTCCTTGATATCTGAGATGCATCTAGCTTACAAGCTAATACTTGGACAGTTTCCTTGGATACCATTTATTGCGGTAGGTCATCATGGCCTCATATACTGATTCTTGGCTAAGATATGCCACAATAATGGGTATATGCAGGACGTACTTGATACTACAGGCGAAGTATAATCAACAAACTTTAGCTAGGATCATATCGGAGTTGGTCAATCATATCTGATAGCCAACCTATATGCAAGGCAGTATATATCACTTCCGCGCTGACAATAGGTATAAAAGTGCGCTTACCCCTGGGCTCCCCCCTAGATGCCACTGTTTTAACCATCTGATTGACTCTGGAAACCCTCGGAGCCCAGAGTACGCTGGTTGTTGAATACGGCAATTCCCCAGCAGCCATACTCTGCTAGTTGAATCCACGGGGATTGGGTATTCTGAATTTGTCTGCCTTGAGGCACTGTCGACAAGGAGATGTGCAGCCGTCCAATGATGTGAAAAACACCGTGGCCTGTTTGGGGTCCAAATATAGAGTTGTAAGAAGGGAATCAAGTTTAACCATAAATCAACTTGTTGCGCCCTGCCATGATATGATTGACGCACATGCTACCGCTAAGGTAAAGCACTCGCTGCATGCATCGGGCGCATACCAACACCCACGTCAAACGAACGAGGGAAACAGGAATGCAAAGTTAAAAAATAAAAGAAGAAGAAACCCAAAATATTATCTTTCTGTCATTGAATATGGATGATTCTTTGTTGATTGTGCCGGTTTCTATTCCCGTTGTAACATCACCATTACGCCCATGATTCCAAGCAAGACCGTCTTCATCCATGGGTTTTCTGCCAACATGATCGTCACGTATCCAACGGCCGGAATGTATCCTCGCACGCTACCTACAATATCGAGTTTGCGGTCAAGGTAGTCTTGGCCCTGTGCGTAGAGTTCGGTGTCATCTGCGATGTTGTTGTCGCCTTTTGTGAGCATCTGATGGGAGACGGGTGAGGATAGGCCGGGTCTATACGTGAATCATCAGCAATAATTCGATAATATGACACGCGTACTTCCTTCAATCGCCGTTCATATGATCTTCACACCGTGAATATCTCTCACTCCATGTCGTCATCACCTCCCGCTCCAGATATAGCAGATACTCACCCACTGCGTTTATCCGCCTCCCTCTCCAACCTTCGTTGGCTCTTCTTCCCTCCATCTCCTGTTCCAAATGCCTTAATAACTCGATGAACGATTGGAATATCCTTTCCCTGCACATTATACACCACTATCTCCCCAACTTCTGCGCGCGGGCTATTGTTCCATAGAAACAGTAGGTCGCCGCGTTGGAAGGCTGGCTCCATGCTTCCTGATAACACCACAACAATGGGAGAGGACGAGTTTGTGTATACGGATAGGGCCTTCCATCCCATGAAAGCCGTGGAGAGGACGAGGGCGAAGTTGAGGAGCTGAGCTAGCGTCTGGCGAGGGTTGGAGAGGTAGGGGGCGAGTTCGGCGAACATGATGGCGGCGTCCTCTTTATGCGGGTATTAATCAAATGAAATAGCAGTTCTTTTTGTCTCAGCTATCAGGCACAGCTCATTGTCATTCGTGGTGCCGAGCTGTCGAGCTGCTTGCTGCTTGACCCTGTAGTTGAGGATGTTGCGGCTTATCTGTTCAGTTGGAGCGAAGCTCTTGGCTTGGCGTTTGCTTACTTTTGAAAACACCAACTAGTGACATCTACAAACAAAGCTACGCGCAACTACAAGGAGAAAAGAAGATGAGATGGCCGAATGTCTCAATTTCCAGCTATAGTGGATGAACCACGACAGAATAATGGTAACAGTGGAGGGGTAAGCACATAAGATACAGGAGAAAAGGACCAAAGGAATGGGGATTTCACGGGAAATTGTCAATCTCATGTATTAGTTTGGATGCGGTGCGCTGCAATTTGGGTAAAGAAATAGCTAAAAGACGAGAATATTTAAACAGAGAGAGAGAGAGCAGGTCTCGGTCCTATTGTCGAAGGAAGACGCAGTCTATTCGAATAACGGCAGAGTCCGGCTCTCTCTCTTCCTAAGCCAAATAAAGTGCTTGCGGCCAATCTCGAGAGAAGCGAAGTAGTGTTTGGAGTTATTTTCACTGTTTTCAATAGATCAGTCAATCCAAGGAGAAGTGAACTAGATGAATAAAAAACAAGGTAAAAATTTGCTCGGCACGGTACTTCATTCTCCTTAGTTATCATGTTGCACAATTTGGTTAAGGGAGGAGTTGGTTCAATTTCTTCTTGCTTCCATTCTTGACCGACCGAGCAGGTCGATACGATAAGTTCGAGGTTTAGTATGCAGCCTATAGGCCATTTTCAAATGACTTTAGGAGATCGGCTGTTGCTGTTTGTTCATAAGTAAGTAAGCTAGGTGAGTAGTTATTAAAGAGATAGAAGGAATCTCATAAAAGCATCAAGCCTGAATTTGATAGTTACGAGATAAAAAGAAACAGATTAGCCTTGAGAGTCAGGAAAATTGGGAGGCGTACCTGAGCTCCACGACATCATCAATATGGTTGCACATGGCCACGAACAAATCGAAAAACAATTTGCCGCCGCTCTCCATCTCCATCTGCATGGTTCCACTCCTTTTGAAAGTCTTGCGACTTCGGATTATCAGAGCTAGGAAGTGAGCGCGGAGTCGCGATTCGGAGTCTGGCGTATGATCGTACGTATACCGCGCCGATCGAAGGATAATATCGACAGGGATACCAGCTTGAAGGCCCTGCTTGCGCAGTGAAAGACGCTTCAGCTCGTCCAAGCCGTACTTCTCAGCGGCGCAGTAGATGACTGTGTCTCGGAGGAGATAGTCGTTCACACCAGAGTAGAAGATTGTCGCTTCGCATGACCCGCGGCCACCAGTTTTAGAAAGATCCTGTGCATCCTCGAGTACCCAGGAGTTGCGACGCTTGTTATGCATCAAGCGTGGGTAGTAGTCTCCCTTGTACAAGAATTCGAGGACGCAGGACAATATCTCGGGTTCTCTGGGCAACACATATTAGGTATATGTGTAAGCGGATGACTGGAGACTATTACGAGTGACTCACTCATCAGGCAGGGCAATCTGTTTCATACCACCATCGGAAGCTTGCTCCCTGATGGCAGACGAAAAGAAAGGCGAAATAGAAAGGATGTCTTCGTGGGCAGCGAACAGGCGACTTTCTCTGCCTACCACCAGCGTGATGATAGGGCTAGTAAGGGTGCTAGCCATGAATCAATGTCGGTTAGATGTGCAAACAGCCCGATAAAATATGGCATGGTGGGTTCTGACTAACCTCCCAATCGGCGGATTATCCAGACTCTCCTGCAGTTTAGTTCTCAAATTCTCGCGATATGTCTTCTTCGCAGGCTTAACAGACTTGCCCGCCCGGTCTTTTGAGGAAAAAGATCGTTTGAACATGGCTGTCAGTGGGAATCCCAACGAAGAACTGGAGTTATCCTAAGGTCGCAAGGACAACCAGCGAGTAGCGAGGATCGAAAAACGAGCGGCCGAAAAACCTCGCGGACATATATAATGAGCGTATTGATGGGGATTATAAACGAAAAGAAGTTTGACGCTTTGCAGTATCACGCACGTCGCATGGGAGCCTTGGAAAGCTGTATCCAAGAACAGCCTTCCTCTGCCGTGTCCCTGAGAAGCCCCGGTGAAGGAGAACGCGAGGACGTCAGCAAAAGAACGCAAATCCTGGAATAAGCTTTGCGCATGAGATGACACGCAAGTGCTGTCTCGATGCGGGATCTTGACCGGTCCTGCGAAGCGTGGTGCAAAGAGAAGAAGAGAAGAAGAGACGACGACGATGACGAAGCGAAGTTGATATCGATTCCGACCGGTCATGTGATGCCTCTCTGACTCAGACTGATTAAGCGCTTACGTAATAACCAATCACGAGCTCGATTCGCGATGTTTATAGATCAACATCTGGCGAAACCATTAATTCTTCAATATTGCAATCCCAACATTTATGGGATTGGAATACTATATCACAAAAGCTCACGAGGTATCAGGGTTATCTTAGCCGTGTTACATACATAGACGTTAGCCTGTATAGGGCGCTCTGTCCTTCGGCCCTGGATTTGACCTTCCAGACGACGCAGAGGTCCGGGGATCTTCGCGAAAGTCTCGGATATTAAGGCGCTTATAGCTACTGCTGCGCCGATCTTATCACGAAAGGATGCCGTGAGAGTTCGATGGGCTGGGATCTTCGGGGTCGTTTGCCGCTGGATCATACATAAACTGAATTAAGTGACGTTAACGTGTTAGCTTTCCATGACTCCGACCTCGCCAGCTGAAATACCCATGTAGTCACCCGGTGCTTAGAAGACGTGCTTCCCGAGGCGTGTCCGGAAGGCCGAATGCGTCTAGCACAAAAACCATTTTACGGGGCTTGATGTACTTTGTACTGGGGAACTAAGCAGTTCTTCTGGTCAGGCTCAGGGATAGTTACGTATATGCTTACGACTTGCTTTGCGCAAAAGTTGACCCGTTTGATACCCTGTCTACCCCATGGAACCAGGCAAGTGAGGTATTACTGATACCACCAGCGAATCGCGATGTGTTCAGGGGTAGATGCCGCGTTACTTCTGAAGACATACAGATTCCCGAGGCTGGAGTTCATCCATATAACACGGGAAACGGCGCTATTTTATCGGTGCTGTTGATGTCTCATTATATTCCGTTTCACTGCTTATTTATTTCCTAGGATGATGGGGCTGCCGGTTTCTTTGCAATCATAAGATACATTGGTGTAAAAAGCCCAGCCCTGCCACCGGCAACAAGGTTGTCTGCACCCAATGACAGCTCGTCGGCTGTCTGTGCAGTACCTGATGGCGCAAGCTTGGCAGCTTCGAGGACTTTTAGCAGGGTACTGACAGACGCTCGACCGAATTTGGTCACTCGAAGAGCACTGAATAGATCCCACAAGCTGCGGGCCTGGAGCTCTCCTGCAAGTGGTGCGTACCAGGGGATTATGTCCCCTTTGTCAGCCATATCCTCCTCATGTTCGAGAACGAATCCAGCCGCCTGTATAGCCTCCATTGCATGCTTACGAGGCATCATGGTAGCGATTCCGTTTCCGCGCTCAATTCCTAATTTTATGGCACGGTGCGATGGATCTGAATCGTCGTACTTGTCCGTCATTACCCATTCGTACACGCCAAATGTTCCACCGGGCTTTAGAACGCGGTAGATTTGCTCATATACCCCTTGCAGAGATGGCGCATGAACTGTTGCCTCAATGACGTACACGGCGTCAAAGGAGTCGTCTGGAAAATTCATCTCCTTCGTTCCGCAATAGTCAGGAAATGAGATATATATAGCTAGTGACTGTCACAACAAAACTCACCATGAAGTCACTTTTGACAAAGGAGACGTCTTCGCTCCGGCTTTCCTTCTTTGCATGTGCCGTAGCCCGTTGGATCTGATAACCGTTGTTGTTCACACCAACAACCTTGCAGCCGGTGAAGGTAGATATCTCCCTTGCCGGGCCACCAACTCCACATCCGACATCAAGGACCTTCATGCCTCGTTGAATGCCCATTCGAAACGCAAGATAGTGTTCGTGTCTTGCCAGAGCCTGGAGGAAGGGCTCATGAATACCAAAGCGGCAGAAATGAAAAGATTGCGCCCATGCTTCTTCGTAAAAATCAGTTGCGAGGTCATAGTAGCTATCTTCCCGTTAACATCGCAATATCAGAGAGACCATAAGGCTACTTACCTGTTCACTAGTGACATGTAATTATCCTTTCTCTCCCCGCGCTCCTTTTCATCCCAGAAGCCGACATATTTGTCCGTAATCTCTCGATGTGATTCATTGCCCTTCTTTAGCATAGCCAGAAAAGCATTGCGCTCTTCTGCCGACTTCCCATGCATCGGGTCAACGGCAGGGGCAAAGTGATCAGCCATCTTCTCGGTGGTTTCTGAGATATATTGTCCGTGGCAAAGGATAGAAACTCGGGGCATCTCAACATCATATATATATGAATTCGTCCCACTATGGAGGACAGGGGACTTTGCCGCTGTGCCAGAGATCAATGCGATGCCCCAAGCCTCACGTCATGACAGGGCCTGAATTCCCGAGTCCGCCTCGCCACTCCAGCGTCTTCGTCTCCGAGCTCCGTCCACCGACTAGTCAGGCCGCTGCCGTCAGCTAATTTATCGGGTACGCATCTTGACTAAGGAACGTCGGCCGGCTTTACCTCATCAAACACTGACGACGACGTCGAGCAGTTGGCCGTAACCTCTTGGGCAGCCAATGAAAGGTGCGCTTGGTAATCCTGCGGAGAGGAGCACGGGATTCGCTAGTCGGAACTTTAGCTTTCGTTTTCGTATAGTTTCGGTGTCAAAGTGAAGCTCCGGGGCCCAGAGTACACAAAAAATAACACAAACGACACAAATAACACGGCTTCCAAATTAGAGGAGCTGGTTGCAGGCTGCAGAGTGCGAGATGCGTCCTTTCCCACGCGTGATCAGTTTTGTTTGATTCTTCATTTCCGTAAGCAGGCACGATGGGAGCACAGGTCTGGCTGATTGTGGCCGCTTTGGGTACACTCTGTCATCTTCTCTTTGGATATCTCAGTCCAAAGTATGATCCTCGCGAACCAAAGCTGGTTACGCAGTCGATCCCGCTGGTTGGCCATGTCATCGGTATGGTCCGTCACGGGCTTGGCTACTACACGACTCTCGGGTAAACAAATACCTCAATGTCAGGCAAGTATCGAAAAGTGTGACCAGTGTGGTTAGTTGACTGTGGAAATGTAGGGACGTGCCGTCACCTATCTTCAGCATGAGCATGCTGAACAAGAAGATTTATGTGGTTACTTCTGCTGCTTTGGTCTCAACTATACAACGTTCTGCAAAGTTCATCTCATTTGAACCTTTTCTGAACGAAGTCGGAGACTGGCTGGCTGGGATCAAAGGCGATGGATTGAAGCTCCTCCAGAAACCTGTGAAGGGCGGTGGAAGCCTCAGTTCTGCGATGGTGCACGCCATGGCTACCGCTATTTCAGGCAGCAGCCTCGATAAAATGAATGATACCATGATATCCTTCCTCCAGGCATCCATGGAGGAATTGTCGACTGCAACTGAAGATCCCATTGATCTATATGCATGGTGTCGGGATGCAATGACAACTGCCAGTTGCGAGGCGGTTTGGGGAGCTAAAAATCCCTTACGTTATAAGGAAATTCAGGATACATTTTGGTACTTCCATAAACTGATATATCCGTGACTTGACTTAATGTAAAAATGTGTTGACAGATCATATAGGGAGTATGAAACGAACTTGCCCATGTTATATATTAATATTTTGCCACAATTCACAGCGCAGAAGCCTTTTAAGGCACGAGAAAAACTTGTGAAAGAATTTCTGAAGTTCTACGAAGCAGATGGACAATGGGAAGCCTCGGAGTTATCACTTGTGAGATGGAAAATTCAGCACGAAGCAGGCGCTACTATTGAAAACATTGCACGCATGGAAGTTACTTTGTGCGTTGGCGTTCTCTCGAATACCGTTCCAACCCTGTTCTGGACCACCTTTGAAATTTTCTCTCGCCCCGAGCTCTTGTTGAAACTTAGACAAGAGGTCTGGGATAATGCAGTACATGTTTCCATCAGTCCGGAGGGTAACACTATTCATTGCCTTGATGTCGCAGACATACGAAACAAATGTACCCTTCTCCTTTCTACCTTCCAGGAAGTGCTACGTCTACGGTCCAGCAGCGCCACGATTCGTACTGTTCTTGAGGATATTGAAATAAATAACCAGTATCTACTCAAAAAGGGCTCAATGCTACAGCTTCCGGCACCGTTTCTCAACCTCGAGGAATCTACGTGGGGCTCGGATTCAGCAAATTTCAACCCTTACCGATTTTTTGACTGTGACAAAGAGAAAGTTGGGCGCTTGAGATCGAAGGGTTACATGTCTTGGGGTACATCTCCCCACATGTGCCCAGGAAGACATTTTGCAAGTGGAGAGATTTTACCTGCGGTTGCTATGTTTTTGGTACGATATGATATTACGCCTGTCGAGGGTACCTGGCGCCACCTTTCGATAAATAGAGAGGTGATAGCAGCATCGATTCCTCCACCTAAGGAAAAGTTTATGGTTAGATTCTCAGAGAGGGATAATCAGGATGCATTGAAATGGGAGTTTCGGCCTTCCGCAGAACACGGAAGATTTAAATTGGTTACTGGGTAACGGCATTATAAATTCGTGGAATTGAATCTTGATGATAGACACGTTTACTCAAACTGAGGCTGTAATTATCATTGATCTTCTTCTTGCCTTCACCCTGCTCTGAGCGACCACTTTTATAATTGTTCACACTTTGAACCGCGGCCTTGGCAGGGACAGAGAGTCTCAATTCTTGGCATACGTCAGTTTTAAGTTGTGTCCCTGGAGCTTATTTAGTGGGTCTCTCCTCTTACCACAGTATGCAGAAAACAACTGTATTACTCCTTACATTCTTCTCATTTACTTTTCTTTCTACCTTCTAGTATTAATTGACCCAATTTAAATTAAGACATTCTTGTATTTTTTTGATTAAATAATTTTGGAGTGTTAAATCAACCATCGCTGTGGTCGTGAACTGATCAAGTAGACTCATGTACATGCATCGAAGCAAGAATTGAATATTGGCCGCCTGCTCCGGCCCAAGAGAACACCTTCTCACGGAGAGAAGGATTGTCAATCTTGGTTGCGACTAGAATGTCGTCGGTGTCAGGCCCTTGGCCACATTGGTAAGTTGCGTTGATACCCCATGTATACGCCTTTCCTTCAGAAGTGATAAGAAGATTGTGATCAGACCCTGCAGCAGCAAAGGCACAGTTTGGAATGGGAAGTGGAGTGGGATCAAGGAGGATACGCGGCTTTCCGCGTTCGGAGATAACAATCTGTGGGTCATCAAGGTGGAGTGTGCTGTAGTCAATACCCATTTGCGCGCCGTCCATGCGACCCCAGACAAGACACTGACCGTCTTGGGTGATACCAATGGAATGGTGACGTCCACCTTGAATCATCTTCATCTTTTGACCAATAAGCATGGTTGCCTTCTGTGGTCGAACGATAGTGCTGCCGCCTTTTCCAGCTCCCACGTTAACGGCAGTTTGTCCAAAGTTATTCAGGCCCCAGGTCCAGGTATCTCCGTTGGAGTCGATGGCGAAGGAATGATCACTGCCTGCATGGATGGAGATAATCCTCTTGCTTTTTGGTAAAGCGACGAGGCCAGGAACAAGGCCAATGTCATTGCGTAATTTGTCAATGGACGCGTTCTTGTTACCGGCAGTCTTGCGGCGATCAACTCTAATATGGCGGCCCACTTGTTCGGGGCGGCCCCATGAGAGACTCTGCCCTTGTGGTCAGAGCAAGGCAAAAGTTGTTGCCAGCACTAATTTGAACAATTTTCTCGAGGCCAAGTATCATGACTGGGTCCGATTGCATTTTGATAAGTTCTTTGTTCCACCAGCCGCGTTCCCCCTCGGTAGTCTAGTAGAAAACGTGTTAGAAGTAGCTCGACGCAACAAGAGGAAAAGAAAGACAACATACCACAAATGAGCCCCATCCGTAAACAAATCCATCTTCAGTCAAAGCGAAAGTAGCACTGTCACCTGCAGCTACCTGGCAAAATTTGGCGCCTTCTGGGAACTTCTCACGTGGAATGGCTGTGGGAATGGCCTCTCGTGGGTTGAGTTCAACCTCATCGCTTGCAACAGATTCGTCGTCATCGGCCATATCTTTTAAACCGCCATCCCAGGTAGTCTCGCGTCCAAGGGCACAGTTGTCATTGACACCCCAGGTCAGGATGTGATTATTGTGTGTCAAGGCAGCTGCATGCATGCCTCCAGCGCCAATATCAACGACTCCAACCTTTTCTGCATCGAGGTTGGTGTTCAGACGTGGTCTTTTGACGTCAATTGCATTTTTTGGGCCGAGACCGAGCTCAGCACTGCTGCCGGAGCCAAAGACGTAAACATTGAGTCTCTGCTTGGGTATGGTGTTGGAAATGGATGACCCGGCTTTCTTTGGAGCTCTGGTCTTTTGGACAGCTCCTCGGCCAACACGTTTCCGTGGAGTACTCTCGGGAGCGGGTTTAGCCTTGCGAGGAGCCATTGTATTAGACAGTTCGTACGGCTGGTGATTTGAGATAGAAAAGAGAAGTTGAAAATTCTAGAAAAGGGTTCTAGAGTGACTATGTGGTCGGGAAGAAGGGTATGCTGCAAGAAAGATAGTAATTTGGCAAACAGCAAATTACTTCGACATAGTAGTCGGGAGGAAGCCGACTACTATATAGTCTAGCGCTCTTCATTGTTCCTATTGATGGTTTTGCCTTGTGTTCTTCCATCTTGGAGTGTTGTTATTCTGATACTTGGCACCGACCGAAAGCGGCTTAGTGGATATCTGTCTTGGCAACACTCCCCTCTCCGAAACTTGTCTTCGTCATCAAAACCAACATCAACAACCAAGGTCAAAGGCTAGCGACATTGGAGGACAAAGGGGACAATAGTGCAGGACATATACTTCATCACTGTCATCCTCGCAGGTTCACTCTAAATACTCAAGCTATTTTTTATTGACGAAAGACATGCCCTGATCATCATCGCGCAATCGACTCTATTCACTGTGTTTTGGATAGATTTCACAATAAATTCACTAGATACTCATATCCATATCCATACCCAACTATATTATTATCAACTTCTTGCTCTGCTATTCATATTACCCGCGGGATATCATGGCAATGCAATACATGAAATCGATTAGGAGGAAGCCAGTGGCGAAAACAGAGTCGACATCAACACCAGCAGCAGAAACGCATGGCCCTGTGTTGACGGATGAAGACGAGGCATTCCTACACCATGTTGCAACCTCTTCGTCTATATCAGGAAGTGATAGCGGTGATAAACAGCCTGGAGGGTCCAAAGATGAACAAGGCAGGGAACTTGTTGATGAGCCGTTGGACGATGACTTGAGACGTTTGGCTGAGGATAGAGGCTCGCAGGAGAAACTTGATACTCCTGATACTGAGCCTACCGCCGCCACTGCGTCGTCTGCTTCCACTGATCAAAAGAAGATGGAGAAAGGACACAAGTCACGCAAGAGCCTGTGGGGTATGCTTAAAGATAGAAAGTGGATGGGAGAGACCGAGAAAGTAGACAAGGGGAAGGGTAAAGTTGCTGATGATACCCAGTCAAGCAGCGAAGCAGCTGGTAAAGGGAAAAATGAGGAGGAGAAAAAGGAGGATCAAGATCTATCTAAAGTCCTTGAGCAGTTGAACCTGGCAGCTGTCAACAACCGCGTCTTTTCGATTAGTAGCGATACACAGGCGCTTCTAGAACAGTTCAAACAAGTGTTCAAAGACCTGGTCAACGGAGTACCAACGGCGTATCGTGACCTTGAGTCCCTACTCACGAATGGCGACCAGGAGCTACAGAAGAGTTATACCAAGCTGCCTAGTTTTCTTCAGAAGCTCGTCGAAAAGCTGCCCAACAAGATGACAGAGAAGTTTGCGCCAGAGATTCTTGCAGCGGCATCAGCAAGAGCGAGCAAGAGTGGTATCAACATGCAGCATGTAGACAAGGCGACCAGCACGGCAAAGAAGATAGGTATTGAAGTACCCAACCTGAAGGAGCTGGCCGGCAAGCCTGCAGCCCTCGCGGGATTGCTCCGGTCTATCATTGCATTTTTACGTGCGAGGTTCCCTGCTTTGATTGGAATGAACGTTCTTTGGTCTCTGGGGCTGTTCAGTATGTATCAACTTGGTGGACCTACGCTACTTTGCTGATTTACTGAACTAACAGTGCAAATAATAAAAACAGTTCTACTTATGGTTTTATGGTACTGCCACAAGCGCGGCCGTGAGGAGCGGCTTGCGAGGGAAGCTAGCATGGCCGGAGAAGGTGAGAAAGCAGAAGGTGAAGAAGCTAGGGTGATCGATGTCACAGACGAGGCATCGCCGTCGACGACGCCTGCAGCCGTGGGAGCACCAGCAGCAGCTACAGGGACGGTAGCAAACACCGAAAGTGATGCCCAACTCACAAGGCAGGTGGAGGGCCAAGTGCAGGCTGCAACGACGCAGATCGAAGCCCCGACCACTGCCACCTCAGAAGTAGCTGCAAAAGACAAGGAACCACGTCAAACGATGGAAGAGGATAATGTGAAGGTATAGCTTTCCGGAAGCCAATTGAACCATGCAGAGCAAGGAATGGTATTGAGAAGGTGGAAGGCGGAAATACCACAGCAGGGGGATCAGTTAGAGGTAATAAGTATATTTGCGATATGGAGAGGGTTAGCAAGGTAAATACTATTTTTGACGCATCGGTTGAACACGTCAGGAGAGGAATGGTTGAAACATTCTCCTCCCTAGCAAGCGAGGCAAGCTAGAATTTGTATAGCGCATAGCGTTCAATATCTGCTGCATGCGCAAAATAATCTCGGCTACCTGCAGCAGGCCTGTACGTGCATACTTCGATACTGTGATGAGACAAGAGATGATAGAGATAAGATCGGGTGTGTGCGGTATTCTCGTTTAGCTTCTTTTGGTTCCAATCCAGAGTTATGTCAGTTTCTTAGTTAATATAATGAATATAGTCGATTCGCTGTTGGTTAAAACGAATACTGAGTGCCGGTTTATGACGTCTATACGATATCCTACGTAATCATGACTCCGTCTATTTGCGTGTTACGAGCAATCGCTGCGCTGTCCATGTATGGCTAGCTAGCGCTGTTTATCTCACACCTCAACAGCAAGATCCAGTACATTATGCACATCATTATCGTCATTGCAGTCACAGTCCTTGCCCCATGTTACATACCTTTTGTCTTCCGCAACATACGTATCGTATGCATGGAGCAGATGGAATTGCAATCCCGCTTTTGGGCCAGGGAGTGAAAATACGGGCGATTAGAAAGAGTGGAAGTGGAAGAAAAAGGCGGAAAAGGCAGAAAAAAGGGCCCCATCTCCAACTCCATTTCCGTACTTACACAGCCATACTGTGGGACTTATCACTGTGGATTTGGTAGCCTTCGTCGCTGGTTGGAGTCATGCATGGAAGACGGAAAACGAAGTCTCCTCTTTCTTGCTCCTTTCCTTCCAAACGAAAACTGTCATCGACTCATCCAGCTCGTGAAGCTGGGGGGGGGGGGGGGGGGGGGGAAGGCTGCACGGAATGTGATGTATGCTGTTCGGAGTGCGGAGTGGGCGAACCTGGCCTGGTCCGTACCAATCTGGACTAGCGACTGATGCGTGTAAAAGGGTCCTGGTATCAGGCGGAACGAGTAACATGTCTCGCGCCAGCTTCCCCAGACAGGATCTGATGCTTGAGGATGCAGGGCCCCTGGTCCGTCTCCTGCAAGATGGAATAATAATACCATCTCACTGACCAGTCTTCTAAATCAGAAGGAAGTCGCTGAAAGGGGCCATCAGAGAAGAGACGACTCTGTAGTAACAATGTAAACTGTCCAACATCCACCGCCTGCAACATGTAAGTAACTGACTAGCGCTCCGTCTCGTTCGATGCATGACGTCGAGCTTGATATCAGAAAAAAAAAGCCAACGACGGGGCAAACAGGAGTCACGTGCAAATAAGTTTTCTGGCAGTAAAAGACGGTGAGGAGAGGCTGACCAATCACCGCTTTCCGAAAGTGGAAGCCCACGCCAAGACTCTCCGAGCGGCAGAAAAGTACCCGGACTTAAATTTCTCCTTCGCCGACCGCCTCGTCGTGCCGATCTTTACCCAACACGGAATAAGAGGGTGGTCCCTGCGTTTTGCCTTTCTTTTTTCTTCATCATCGACTTTCTTCTTTTCACCTTCGACTTCACCAACTTCACGACAAGCACAGCAGCGTCGTTCCTCGCAGACAAGCACCCCATCACCAGACACAGAGACCACCACCCATACCGAATATCGTCGATTGCCCTTTTTCTCTTCTTGCCAACATGGCGGTCGCTGGGCTCTAAATTCTCACTGCTGGGGGGGCATCGTACCCTCTAAGGGACCCCCCAGACCGAGATTAGCCCAACGAGTTCAAACAACAAGAAAAGAAAGAAGAAAGATTCTACCAAATCGACCTCGACGATATTTGAAGATAACTCTTTCGACGACTTCTGCTTCGTGCGTCGGAATTGCCCCCTCTTGATTGCAATTTATTATTATCGTTGTAGACGCCGCTTTTTTTTTCCCTCGACCGTTTTTCGCCTTCCCTGAAAATAACCCCTCCACCACCACATTTCTACCCTTCTACTATACCTCCCCTCCGAACAATTGTCACCTCCTACTCTACGTGGCTGAATATAGTACCCCAAATACTATATATTCCATTCCTCCTTTGGCTGTTTAAACTGGTGCATCGAGGCTAGTTCGACAAGATCAAATTCCCACCTACAAACCTTAAAAAACCTCGAGAGCAAGAAAGGGAAATTTTTCCCTCCCTCCAACATTGATAACGCAAAAGAAAAGGAAGATAATCAAGGACAAAAGACCGACAATGGGTCGTTCCGGAGTAAAGACATCTCGGCCATCGTCCTCCATGTCTCGTTCAAAACAACGCCGCCAAACTATTTGCGGAAAGTCCCGTTCGTCGCAGCTCAAACTTAGGCTGAAGAAAAACAACAAACGCAGAGCGCCACCTTCTATCTCAAGTGATGATTCATCCAGTGAAGATATGAATTCTGGTAATGAAGACGACGACGACGAAGATGGCGAGGACTCGAGTGAAGATGATGATGAAGATTCCACCCCAGCAGCGTTTGCCCCGTCTTATGGTGGCAAGAAACGACTTGGCCATAAGACGGGGCGTACTGGTGGGGTTTC